CCTCAGAAAATCCCTAGAGGAAAAACTGAGTAAAAAAAGAAATAAATCCTAAGCCTTTGTCTACCACTACAAACATTTCAAAGTCTCAAACGTTAACTAATAATAAAGAAAAGCCCACTTCTTAAGTGATCACCTCTATTTCAACTTATACTTCATGGAAAAAACTTTTGCAATGCTTCCAAAAATAAAGAAACTAATGGAAAAACTTCATATTGGTGCAGAATTCAAAGTCCAGCCGCTCAATACATAACTGTTACAACTTTTAGGAACTCGGTGGTGGCAGAAATAAAATTATTTTTGGTAAAAACCACTCCATAGTTTTGTAACTCCACTAAAACTTTAAGTTAAAGGTCCGTTCAAATTTTGAAAGAATGACCAAGAAGTTCACAATAAAAAACAAAGTACTCTACAGCTACTCGAATGAGAAAAATCAAAGTTTTTCCTTACTGGAAAAATGGCCAAATAATCAGTAGGTAAGAAATGTAGTTGATCTCCTCTTCTATTAAAAAGTTATTTATTAATACTAATTATTTTAAATTTGTTATATAAAAATATTTTTTTATATTTATAATTAGGCGACACAAAGTGGTAAAAATGGTTTTTATAGTCCGGCCGGGTCAGGTTTGTTAAGTCTTAAAAAAAATTTTTTTATATTATTACTATGCCGGGTGAGAATTTTTTAAAAATTGAAAAAAAATTTCACATATAAAATTTTTGAAAAAAAAATTAAAAGCCGGGTTGCCGGGTTATTAATGAAATTTTTATATTATGAAAACTATAAAATCAAGTTTGTATGGCCTTATATAAAATTATAATAAAAATTTTTATTATATTATAAAATTTACTAATATAATAATTACTTATTAGAGTTGATTACCCCTGGCTCATTGGTAAGTCTGTGAGTCCTTTTGGGAAGTCTGAGTATGGTGAGGTCATAGGTTCGATTCTGCCAATCATGAAAATTAAAAGAATTTTACTGCGGACACTACTACTAATAATGTGAAGGTACAGGGATTAGTGTAGGCTGAACTGCATCATGGTGAATTAGTATGTATCTGTCGACGACATATTTTAACAAAGGGTTATGGTGTTCTCCTAGCGTTCCCTATGAGGCCATTGGGAAGCCTATTGTCCTGTTTGGATGGTCACTGCTTGCATACCATCTGGGTGAGCTCTTATCTTAGTGGTCACTCTACGATACCACTAAGAGTGTGGTAAACTTTACTGTGGGAGTTTACTATGCTAGATGGTCCTCATAGATGGTAAAGTCTCAAGTGCAATGTCTTAGCAGTAGTTTACCTTTTAATAGGTTTAGGCTGATTGGAGACGTTTGTAAGCTCACAGGTATATAAGGTTCTAAGGTGAGGTTTGATTCCTCAGTGAATTTGACGTACTGGTGGGTGATCCCTGGGTAACTGGGTTGGTTACTTATAATAAAGGGGTGATCCCAGTACTCTTAGCAGCTTACTGTCCTGGTAGTCACTACTATTACTACTGGGGGATTTACAACTATGATGGGCTGGTATAGTAATCGCGACCTGTAGTGGGCTTTGAGTGAGACCATATTAGTAGTCTTAGTATTGCAGTACCTCTAAGCTAACCATCATGGAAGGACTTCTAGATGTCTGCTCCGTTATATCTGCCGTACGTGGGTGGTTGCTCACTTCTGACGGGTGCTAGTGGGTAGTATAACTGTGTCAGAAACCCTGCTACACAACGATCTATCCTTGTGTAAGTATAAACTTGGGTCGTCTTTCCAGTGTGGTATATAGGGGTAAGGGAATGTACATCTGGTTACTTCTAATAATTAGAGTAGGTGTTTGGTTTAAAGATGTAATATGTAATTATTTTTAGAAGGTTATAAGGTTGCAACTATTACAACATACATACAACACTTTTGTTGTAATTACACAATATTATAATTATTATATAGTATTATAATTACTACTAGTATTGTAATTATTTCCAATTATATAAATATGTATTATTATATATTAATTATTTCTTTTATGATGATATTTGTTCTATAAAAACTTATTTTTGTAATTTTTATTTTTCAAAAAGGAAATTTTTGAACAATCATAAGTGTTGTAATATTACAACACTTTAACTTTAAAAGTAGTAATAGGTTGCAACCCTTACTATTACAACACAAGGTAGTAATTATCAATTACATACTACATCTTTAGCTTGGTTAGCTGTTGCTTAATGGTAGGAGTGCATTTCCACAACTTTAAGTTGTAGTGCTCCCTTAAGGTTGCTTGCCGAAACCTAGGGGTTTAGGCAAGATGGCGTTTTGCCGAAAAGCAAAATTCTGCCAAAACTATATTAAAGTTATATTAAAAAACTGGCAAAACTTTGGAGAAAGGCAAAACTGCCGAAACTTATTATAAATGCCGAAACTGCTGAAACTCTGCCAAAACTATAATAAATCTATAGTAAAATTTTAACAAAACTAATCGTAAGATTTTGAAGAGGTTTAGACAAGCAACCTTATGCTCCCTCCATGTAACTCTAGTGAACCGGCTATGCTGATATCTCCTAAAACATAAAAAAAAAAAAAAAATAATAATAATTACTTATTAAAAAGAGTTTTAAAAAACAATAATACCTTTTTTTAACTTGAAAAAAAATTATTTTTGAATATAAAAATGCCATTTTATCAGAATTGAAAACTTATAATTGTATAAAATTAACTAAAAATTTTAGTACGATTCTATTTAATATACAAAAACTAACTTTATAAAAAATTTTAAAATTATTGCAAGAAAAATAGTTAAATTTTTTCATAATGCATTCCAAAAATATATCTGAAAATCATGATGTAATAATATAATTCAAATTGAAAAGAATGCTAGTATTACCAAATTTATCAAACTCTTCTCCTTTATTCCTACTATTTTTTTTAAATAATGCTGGTTTGAACAGAAATTTTATAGAACATTGATCTAATAATTGATATAAATTTCTTATTATAGCTAAAGCTCTATATGAATCAGCTTACGAGTCAAAAGTACTTTAAAAATATATTAGCTTACGAGCCAGCTTGTGAGCCAATATATTTTTAAAGTACTTTTGGCTCATAAGCTGGCTCATGTAGAACTTTATTAATAGCATAATTAAATATAAGGCTTACTTAACTGATCTTATCACCAATAGATACAAGTAACCATAGAAATCACAAAAATCTTTTACTTAATTATTTGATAATTTGTTGTTTTAAAAATTTATATTAAAAGAACTTATTTATTTTTTTTTTTTTTGATAATCGCAATACATTTACAAATTTATTAGTATAATATTAGTAATTATACAAAGATAAAAAAAACTATAAAATATACTAATATGATTAATTTGTAAACCATTCATCATTTCTCTATAAAACCTTACATATGCACTATCAGATAGTTATGATAACTAATCAAATAGGCAATATATAAAACGCATCATCTTAGCATATAACCTGATGTCTTTATCTGGTAGACCACAAGACCTACTAAAAAAACATTAATAAGTTTATTTTATATTTATTTATATATTCATTTAATTTATTTTATTGTATTTATAAACTGGTATTAATTAAAAACTATAAAAATATTATAAAAATTTAATTTAGTTTTAAAAAGTATACATTATAAAATAATAAAATTTGCTAATACTAAAATCAAAAAAAAATCAAAAAAAAATCAAAAGATAATTATAAAGATTAAAAAAGAAAAAGAATTTTCATAATATACTTTAAGAATTATAGCAGTTATTTTTGTGAATAAAAATAAAATTAATAAATAATTAATAATCTTTAACAAGTAGCCAAATAATTTTAATATAGAGTTAGTTGATTTGTAAAAATCAGATAATTAAAATAATATAAATTATATAAGTATTATATTGTGAAAAAAAAATAATAATTAAGAAATAACCCTTAAAAAATAAGATTTACTGTTAATATAAAATATATGCAAATATATTATTTTAAAAAAAAAGATAACCGTTTAATAAATAAATCTATTGTATTTATTATATACATATAAAATAAATACATTAATAAAAAAAAGTTTAAATTAAATGCCAAAAATAAACTCCCACTTTTTGTTCAAAGGATAAAAAAATAATAAAGAAATTATGAATTTTTTTGATTGATTAAAAATCAAAGGATAAAATTTGAATTGTCTACTAACATAAAATGAACTATCTTACATGCCAAAAATATATATAAATGAATAATGTTAAAAAACAAATAAAAAGTGCAAATATATATGAATTATAAAATAAAAAGCCAAAAATAAAATTTCTACATGAAAAAAAAATTTTTTTTAAAAATAAAGCGGAATTAAATTTCATCAAAATAATTAAATTTTAAGAGTTAATTTTGACTTTCATTTGATTGTGGCTCATCTTCTTTAATTTCATCAATAATGACATCCTCATTATTGACATCCTTATTATTGTTATCTTCATTATCGTCATCATCCTCATTCTCATTATTATTATCATTTGTAACATTATCATCGTCCTTTTGTTCATCTAAATTATGATTATTTCCAGTTGTTGCTCCTGATTCCGCATCCACATCAATAGTAACAATCTCTGGTGTGCTTACGTTGACTTCTGCATTAGATGAGTCTTTGTCATTTTTTTGTATTTCAATTTGTCTCTTCTCCGCAATAACAAGTTCATCTTGTTTTGCTTTTTCCTCGCTTTCCAATTCTTGTTTCAAACTTTCCAAAGATAAATATACACGATTATTATATGATGTTCCAGATTTTAATGCATCTTCATTGAACTAGAAAGATGAAAAATTTAAAATTAGAATATGTTCTTGCAAAAAACAATTGGTGTATAAATATAATCTTAAAATTTATACGCTACTTGGAAATCCATTCCGATTCCTTTCTCATTTTGTAAATCAAGAATCTTCAATAAACGTCGTCTAAATTAAAAAGTTATAAACTGAATTTAATATAATATAAAAGGAAGATAACAGACTATACAAAAATAACTTACCCAATTCCATTAATTACAGGAACATTATCTTTGTCTCTTACCCAAACTGCAATTCTATCACCACGAGCTCTACGAGACATTACTAACCAAAGGAAAAAAGAGTGTTAGTCTCCAAGATGTCCCACATATGTTCTACTTTCTAATTTAATAAATCTCAACGTACCGGCACCACAAATATCATCATTTTCATCCAACTCTTCTCCAACCAATGCATACACAAGCCAACTCCAACAACGATCCAATAACTGGGGACTTTTCATTGAAATCACCCATTTTCCTCCCTGAATTAAATAAAAATACCTTTAAAATTACAATTAATAGAAAAAGGGTTTATTTGAAAATAATTACATTAGCATTAGCTGGATCTTCCCACATTGGCTTAATTTTATCCTTAAATATATGGAAATTCGTATTCATATCTAATTGACTGGGCTTCTTAACCCAGTTGAAATAGCGACAAAAACTTTGAACCTGAGTAAAGAATAATAATATTTTCTTTAGCACATTTAAGTAATATTTATATAAATTATATAGTCGTAATAAACTTAATTTTCATTTTAGTTACCGTATCAAAAGTACCAATAGTCTGCAGATTCTCTTCGTATGTAAGCTTTCCTGTTGGTGTTTTTGGTCCAGGTGTCATGACAGGTTTACTATCATAATACATAGTCCTGTAAAAAATATACATATATCAATAAAATAATTTGTTAAAAAAATCCCTCTATATAACTGTATTGTGTATTGCACTAACCAATTATGTTGAAGAGGGTGTGGTTTATCATCCTTTGAATATACTCTTTTGGAATCATCCATGGCAGAGTTATGACTTCTAGATCTGGTCAAGGGAACCCCAGCAGCAAAAGGATTACTTAAATTTCCAGTGCGTCCACCTGAAGGAGTTCTTTGCATAGACCTGCTACCGAGCAAACTATTAAAGGTCTCAACGGAAAGTTTTGGGCGAGCAATAGGATTCACCACTCGAAGGCTAGCAGTTTTAGAGAAATTTCCCATACTACTAGTTTTGCTATCCTTATCACTTGGAACAAGATTTAATCTAGCCCATCGTTCATTACTTTCACGTATAACGCTGTTTATGTTAAAGTCAGCAAAGTTAGGAGGAAGGCTTAATCTGTTGGAGTTTTTTGAATTGCCGCCTTTTTCAGAAGAAAGTGATGGAGCAATCCAAGGGTGCGCCCCTTTGCTACCCATACCAAGACGAGCATCCTGAGAAGAAGATCTATTCATCGAGTTATCACGATTCTGGCTATTTGATCGGGGACTCTTTGAACGTGAAGATGTTTCTTTACGATTTGGACTCTTTGAACGAGGCCCTGGGCTTCTAGACCTCGAACCCGGACTTCTAGGCGAACTAAGAAGTTTATCACCAGAAGGGCTTTTACGGCCCGAAGGGCTTTTTCCTCGTTTATCAGAACTTTTACTTCTTCCAGGACTCTTACCACGTGAGGGACTTCTATCCCTAGAAGACGGACTTTTATCCCTAGAGCCTTTATCTTTTGTTTGACCTGTACGAGCGTTGAAGATGTCTAAAAGGTCACTATTAGATCCTCTACTGTTCGAATTTGACTGACCATGACCATCTTTACCGTTGGACTTGACAAGCTTGACGTTAATTGTCGGAATGGGCGATGTTACCGAAGAGCTCGATGAAGAGCGAGAATGTTCAGAAGGCATTTTGAATTTTCCTGATTTCCAATAATTGTTTAAATATATACTTGATAAAATCGAGAGAAAACGAGATCTGTGTTAACTATGATAATTCTACTTATAGTTTTTTTATTGCAAAGCTTCCTGAAGTCCCCGCAACAAGAAGTAAAGTAATTCGGATGTGTGTGTTTGAAAGTCTTTATATTTCTCGTGAAACATGAGGAGTTGTTCCACAAATAGTATTTGTATGATATATTTGGAATCAATAATTTGCGAAGAATTGAAAAGCTTTCATAGCTGCTTGGTGTTGCAGAACAAAGGGATTTGTAGCTCAAATGACGATCAATTCTAAAAATGTGAACAAGTAATAGTCAAAAAAGTCAATTTAAAAATGTAAGCAGCTCTTTGTTTTAGAATAAAAATATTTTATTCTTATTAAATGAAAATTAATAAAAAGCCAGACTATTATTTTATTTATTTTTATTGAATAAAATTTATTTGCAAAGTACAAAAATTTCAAATATATTAGTAAACATTACATTTTTCCATTTATTTATGATTTTTTTTTTTATCTTTACTAGTATTTTATTTAAAAATAAATTTTATAAAATATATAAAGCATTGTATTCTACCTAATCAGCAGATATACTCAGGAAGCTTATATATTTATACTTGTTAAAAAAAAATTTGATTAAAATACTTCCAAAAAACTTTCTAAAAATCAATAATATCTTCTTAATTAATTTATAATATAGGTATTATATTTATGATTGAATAGATTACATAATGGGCCTGATCTAGAAAAATTAAGGTTAGAGAATTTTTTTTAAAATTTGCATTATACTTTTGATATAATTAGATTAAAATACAATAACTTTTAAATTTTAACCAAAAAATTCTTTTACCTTAATTTTTTAGATCAGACCTATATGTTGCTAAAATTATTTTGAAATGCCTTAAATATAATTTAGAATATTGTATATATATAATTTACTATATGAAGTATTAAAATACTAATTAAAATAATTAAATTTACTTATAATTATAATAGCTTAAAATAATTTTAACAGTATATAAATAAATATATAACAATTTACAAGTTTTTGGATTTTATCCATTTACTTTAATTAATTTTTTTGTTAAAAAGTAATTAATTCTTAATAAATTATTTTAGCTTAATAACTAATTTATAGAAATTTCAAATAATTGTAGTAGTATTAAATTTTATAGTTATAAGACAATTTTTATTAAAATTTGATTTACAATTTTTTTTTATTTTTTTTTTATTTTTGAAGTATTAATATTATGATATTAAATTATAATATTAAAATATTATAACAGAATTATAGCATTATAATATAGTTATAATATTATGGTAAAAATCATAATTGTAATACTAAGTGCTATAATATTATATAATATATATATTGATATAATTAATAGTTTTTTTATTTACAGTATGTAATCTTATTATATTATATTAAATATTGCTAACTTATATACATTCAGCTTATACAAATAAGAAAAATAAATATATATAAGATCTAAAATACTAGTATTATAAAATAGAAATACTTTTTCAAAGAAAAAGTTAATCTATTACTTATACAGTTATATTACTATTAAAAATAATAATATAAACAAAAATTTTTAAATGATTTATTAAAAACTGCCTAAAAATTTAACCAATACTTATCACAATAAAAAGAAAATTATTTTATTTATTTTATTTATTTTTTTTTAATATAAAATGCTTTTGTATTTTTTTTATTATATTTTACTTACTATTTATTTTTTTTTATTTTTATTACTAATATTACACTTTTTTTTTATTATCTATAATTTATTTCTAGATTTCCATATTAATATTTTAAAATCTAATAGTAATTTTCTAATTAATTTATTAATATTCTTTATATTATAAATATATTAGTTATCTTATATATATTAAATAACGAATTTTATTAATTTAAATCTGGCATTTTAATATTAATGTAAAATTATAACTACTATGCAAATTTTATATTTCTAATTTTTCAATATGTCTTTTAAATTGAATTTCATTTACCTTCTTTATATTTTCCATTACAGTCCTTTTTAGATATTTCTTAAATTTATTTATTATTTCATATATTGTATTTATTAATTTAAAACAATACTATAAGTAATCATATATTTCTTTATTAGTATTACAAAAATTACATTTTTATGTATTATTATATATTTAGTTTCTTTTTTTAAATTTGTATAAATTTTTTTTTAAATTTTGTAATATATTTCTTTATTAAGAATAGATATTTAATTACAGAAATACTTAGAATCATACATGCAATATGATATGACTTTATAATAAATAAATATAATATATTCTAAAAATAAAAACTAAAAACAAATAACAAAAAAAAGAAAAAAAACACACAAATCCATTTCTAATCCTACTATATTACTAACTATCTCTATTTCTAATATAGGAAAAACAGAATCACAAAATTATGATCAAAAAAACACTAATTAAATTTAAATAAAGATATAAAGGCAAATAATATTGTTTAGCATGTAACCTGACCTTTTTTTATATCAAAATCCTATAATCCCACTTGTTCTATAAAATCAAATAATTAATATTAAAATTAAAAACTTTCTATCTTTATTTTTCAAACATTTTTTTCTTGCAAACAAGAGATTTAAGAATAAAATTACTATTATTATTATTATAACACATAATTTGCTACAAATATAATTGATTTATCTTTGAATAAATTTATTATTGCAATTTGTTTTACAGTAAATTACCTTATTTCTCTTTAATTCAATTGGTTTTTCACTAAATTTTTTATTACTGATATGTTTCATATTATAATAAATATAAAATTCCTTCTGCATAAAACATATAAATCACATGATTTGATGAAATAACTAATAAGGTATACAGTCAACTCCCTCTATAGTCACTCCCGTTATAGTCACATTCTACTATATAGTCACATCAGTTGAATGTTCAAAACACTTTATTATTAAAATCTATCCTATATAGTCACAATCTATCTATAGTCACTATCACACCTATCCTCAAAAATCTTATATTAAAAAGAACCGTTTATAATCACAGTTATATAAAGAATATATTAAATAACTTGGCATCTAATAATCGTACAAAGATGTATCATA